ACATTGAAACACGACGGCAATATATCACCAGGCTGATGATTTCATGTTTGTTGCCATCCGGTCCAACCACAAGGTTCACTGAGCCGGCAAAATGGTTAATCTTTACCTCAGCCCCAAAGTGGTTGATTCTTCCAGTATCCAGAGAAGCATCCTTGAGACTTTGGCAGTCTTCAGAGAGGCAGAGCAGGGAAAACAGAGGCAGACTATGCATGGCCGTGCACTTCCGAGCAGGACCCGAGCATGCGTTGCATCCGGCTCCCTTCCCGAGGCAGTTTACTGCTTTTCCTAGTTTAAATTAGTTTGTTAACTGATTAGGCAATTTGTAATATTTAATTAGCTTGCGTAGTTAATTAATTTGTATTATTTATTCGGTCCGTCCGGGCGAGGGCAAATCTGTAATAAGTGTGTGTGAGTGGTGTGTATGTCTTCCAATCCCCACTTCTTTCTTCCCCTTTATTTACCTGCTTTGATGGTAGACTAGGGCATTTTTAAAATTAGCATACCTTATGCTATGCATGTGTGCATTCATGCATTCGTATTTCATGTATCAGGCTCGGTACATCACGCTAACTGCATTTGTACTTCAATTCCAAATTGAATACGTGTATCAATCGATCGCATTTCACATGCCATGTTTAGGATTAGCCGAGCCTATCTAATTGCATCCTGTATGTGTTGCATTAGTCAATTTGACATGAACTAGGATCACGCATGTTTGCTAACTAGTTTACTGTTTTGGCACGGAGTACGATGTAAGTATTTATGCTTTAGCATCCCGCATGCGTGTGAGTGTTGCCATGACAGTATGCTTACCATGCGGCTAAATGCTTATGTGATAAATTGTTTGAATGCCTGTGGGTGAAGGTTGGATTGTTTAAGTTGGAAAAACTCGTTGAAATCCGTGTTTTAGCCTACTCGCGAGTAGCAAATTCCAAAGCGTTTTTCAAAACAAATGGATATGCAACGCTTGTTTCCAAATTAGGCAATTTAGTCTATACTTGTTTGCTGTGCGCATAACATAGTAATTCTAGGCAAATAGCCGGAATAAGAACACATAACGTTTTCAAAATCAGATATCATGGTTAGTAGAGGCCGGTCTTTAGACCGGGCGAGAAGGGGTGCTCATAGCTGACATTCCCCGATCGTACCCAAGCTCCCGAGCCGAGGCAACTTTGGCAATGACGGACACGTGGCCTTTGGCACACGAGACAGGGTTTCCTAAATTCCCCCATAAAAAATATTTAGGTGGCGACTTTGTATCTGGCAAAACAGTCCATGTTTGACACTTCTTTTCAAAAATCTGTTTCTCAAAACGATTTGCCAGATTTGGAAGGCTTCCTTTTCCGTTTGTTGTCCATCCTATGTGAGTGTGGCTGAGGCTCACTCATGTTGGTATAAGCCCATATCATGTTTTCATGTCATTTCATCACATTCTGCCATCGCCTCGGTTTACGTGCCCTTGTGCACGCATTTCGAGGCACTTCATTTTTATCCGCCGGCATCCCGTGTGAGTGTGGCTGAGGCTCACTCATGTTGGTATAAGCCATCCAAGCTAGGATAGGTTGCTTACCCGATTTCAAGTTGTTTGAAACTGCTGCGTGCGTAGTGAAACCCTAGCTCCTGACAAAATAGGACAGGGAAACCCTACCCCAACATAGGGGTGTTTTGGCTCTCTTTACTTGGTATGTGCTTTTAGAGTGTATCTCTACAGGAACGTACATATCAGTTTGCAAGATTGAGTATTAGACCTGAGAGCATCAGTATCAGCGTTGTCAAGAAATCAGTTATATCTGCGGGTATCAGTTCAATTTCGGGGACAGTGATTTCTGGGGAACAGTGATCAGTAGTAGAATGCAGTTGTTCGGCTACGCCCGTGTTTGATCTGTTTGGGCTGAAATGCTGTTTGTTTTTCCTTTCAGTTCAGAGTGTCGGAGAGTTGATACAGAATAGCCAGCGTTTCCCCTTGCTGAGGCAGGACTTATGACGACGCAGAATTTAGAAGAGTTCGTGGTTATGACAACTGCATTAGATCAAGGGATCACTCTGCAAAGTGAGACCAACATTGATATGCCACATCCACCCAGGTCGCCTGTTGTGCACCCGGTCTGGGCACCCCAGTTGTATCAGGCTCGTGAGCCCACCACCTTTGAATTAATGGGGATGATAGGTGATCTCCAGATGTCTGTGGCGGATCTCGCCTACGGAATGTCAGCTTCACCTCCAGCCGCACCATATGCCGGGAGTTTTGTACCCCAGGAGCCCCCGCTGTTGGGGCGAATTGTGATCGAACTTAGCCAACCAGAGATGGCCTCCAGCTATGGCAATGACATGCCGACATCGACCCAAAACCTCGATCAGGCTGACGCCAGAGGAAAAGACAAAGCAAAGGTAGATGCCGATCCTATTGAACAACTGTTGTGGGCAGTCGAGGCTTTGAAGGCCGGGGGGATAAATAAGCAACAGATATCCGCAGTTGTGGCAAAAACTATGGAGGATGCTTTCCCCACTCCACCTGAGGGTAGTTCAAGTCAGTCGGAAAATCGGGATGGGCCCCGTCATGCCAGAACAGTTTCTCCTATTCCCGCCCCTACACCTGGGAAAGATCAGAAAGCCAAGGTGGCACCTTCCGACCCTTTCACTTGTGCGGCTAGTAAGAACACTCAGACTTCAAAATACCTGCCTCGAGGGCGCAGGGCCTTTCATGCTCTCTACATGCCTCTGTCAAAGGCATTTCAGATCCTTGCCGAGAGGGGGCACCTTAAACCCTTGGAGCCTCGGCCTTTCCCGAAGAATCTCCCTGCCACGCATGATGTTGCCCAGTACTGCGCGTACCACCAACAGATAGGCCATGCTACCGACAATTGCTTCCGCCTCCGTCGTGAGGTGCAAGATTTGATTGACAACGAGGTTATCCTCCCGCCCACCTCAGCCAAGTCCGTTACCACCCAGTTACTGGATTTTGAGGACACAGATACTGCAAGTATGTAAAGTGAACCACCTGCGGGCGGCATTCGGTATATTTTGGATGTAGCATCTGGCACGCATTTTTGAGCATCGGTGAAACCGAGTTTTGTAAATCCTGGCTTGGGTATCGAGTCAGTCTTTTGTTTTGAGTCTGTCTCTTTGTTTTGAGTCAGTCTTTTTGTTTAAGGGTCTGTTTTGTTGCATCGAGTCAGTCCCCTTTGTATAGAATACTAGGTGATTCTGGGGTTGTTGCCTCGAACACCGTTTTGTCTTGTAATTACCCGCTTTGTTTTTTGAGTCTGTTTCTGCCGAGGGGCCAGTTATACCAACAAATTTGAATGAAACAGCTGTTGCTATCTCACTTTCGTGCCTGCTTTCAGTATAAGTGCCAGAGGATTTGAACGGGCTGACAATACATCTCGCCTGCCCTCCTGCGCGCCAAAATCATTGCATTAGCCTTAGTTTTTCAAAAACCCCTTTTTTGAACACTGCGGTGATAAAAACGAAGGGGAAAGAATTCCTCTGGTTTTGCAAAATTTTGATCATTTTGAGAGAAAGAGAAGCATCCTAGTGCATATTCGGATCCATAGTGACCATTCCAAGCTAGGACAGGTTGCTTACCCGATGTTAGGTTGTTTGAAAACTACTATGTGCATAGTAAAACCCTAGCTCCTGACAAAATAGGACAGGGAAACCCTACCCCAACATAGGGGTGTTTTGGCTCTCTTTACTTGCTATGTGCTTTTAGAGTGTATCTCTAGAGGAACGTACATACCAGTTTGCAAGATTGAGTATTAGACCTGAGGGCATCAGTATCAGCTTATGAGAATCAGTTATCTGCGGGTATCGGGTTCAGTTTTGGGGACAGTGATTCTGGGGAACAGTTATCAGTAGTGGACTAACTTTGAGTACGGCAACCGGGCTATGTTCAAAGCTTCCTTTAGACCGGAGTAACCTCAAGATTCTTTTGGATCGGAGTAACTTTATACCCCTCATGGGCCGGAGTAACTTTACACCTTTCTTGGGTCGGAGTAACTTTATGGCCTCTTTACTCAGTCCTTCGCAACATCGTTTTCTTCAACTCTTGTTCAAACCTATCCATGACTGATTCTGGCAAGCATATCGGTACCATAATCCCATCTTCTCCTCCTCTAATGTCCCTAAAACGTGCAAAAACGCTAATCAAAGATATCGCCCTAGGAACACCGCCAAACACCGGCTTCCCCAACCCGAAATCTACCTTATCAAACCCTGCCCGAGTCGTATCTGAAACGATATAGTCCTTATTCGCTTCCAAGGTATACGAAGGACGTCCCTTTATCACCATAAGATCAGCCACTGATCTTAAATACTCTTCTTTCACTTGTGCCTTTGCCTTCTTTACTAACTCCAATGCATATCCCAATGGAAGCATAGATAACATTCCTGCCTTTGTCATCGCCGTGGGAAAGGTAATCACGTTGCCATAGTATCCAGGAGGTAGGTTGAGGCCATGTTTATTGCCGCGGCCATTGACTACGCATGAGATGCGAACAATCTTGTCTGGGGCTAGACAAAGTGCGCGTGTTCGACATTGCCATATACACGCGGTGAGTAGTTCGAATGTGGAGGCCGTTGTGCTGTGGTGGTGGTGGGGAAGATGGTTGCGAATGGCTCTGATTTCTTTGGGACCAAAGAAGAAAGAGCTGTTGATCGTGGTGGTTTCGTTGGCCGTGGTGGTGGTGGTGGCTGCTCTGGCTAGTGCTTGGTCATATTCGTGGTGTGGGCATGTAATGGAGGGAGGTTGTCTAGCAGAATTGCCTCCGATCCGAGGTTGCGCATCTCAAAGGGTAAGTTCCATGCTCATTGAGCATCGGCTGTTTGCAAAAATAGTTTTTGAAAATTTTTACTGAGGTTGACTATTTTCTCGAAAACTATCCCATTTTCCAAAACTGGACCATCTTCTTCGACCCAAAAAGGAAAATTTTCAGTGCTTACAGCCTGACTTACATGGCTTTCAAATCAAAAATCGAACGAGTACGTTAATCCGACTCCCATCTTGATCAAAACTGTTTTTAGTGGAAAGCAAAAATGGTCAAAATGATGAACTAGGGGCATAGTTGAGCCAGGTGTTCTGTCTTTCCCCCGTCGTCAACGTACTTGCCAGGAGGGCACTCTACCCACCAGAAGAAATAGCTGTGAGCTAACGGTGTTGAGTACGAACCCACGCCTTCCTATTCATCCATTAATTACCCTGGGGAGGGATGGAAAATGAGAGAATAAAGAATAGAGAGGTGTAAGTTGAGAGAAAAGTGAGGAAAAAGGGTTTTAAGAGAAAAACCGAGCTTGAGTGCCAGAGTGATGTGAGAATCACAAATCAGAAAGGGTGGGAAACAATACCCAGAGAAACTGGCCCCTTGTTATCTGAGGTCCCCCGTCTTCGTTGACGCGTCTGCGTGTCGTGTCTTTTTGATTTGTCGGTCTCGTCTTTTGTTTTTAGTCTTTCCCGAGCGTGTCTCGTTGTGTTTAGGTCGTGTACCTTTGCTGAGTCCTTTTCCGCTGTATCCAGTTGTAGGCTCGATACCCTGGTTAAGAAAATCCCTTTTCCGAAAGTTAATCGTTTATGCTCGGAGTGCTGTGCCGTTCTCTACATTTGGGCGAACCAAAAGAAGGAAGGGAAAATTTGGGGCATCCGAGCATGTTCCCACCCTAGCCGGTTTCACCTTTGAAGGCCGTCTTGTCAGATTGGGCTGTTTTGTTTAAAGTTTGCTGAGTGCAGAATAGACCAAGTGTCGGGTTATGGGCTGTATGCCTATTAATTCTCGGCAGAGCATGGACCGTATGTTCAGGTTAAGCAGTGGTTTGTATGGGTTGCTTTGCTGTTACTTGGTTTGGTTACCTTGTTATTACAATGCAAGTGCTCAATTTTTCAGACAACAAGTCAATTCCATTCACATTGAGGTGTAACATGATGCAATGCGATGCAATGCATGAGATATGTAAATGTAACACTTTTTAAGATAAAAAGTTTGTTCATTTCATAATCTTTTAAGTACACAAGTTTTGGAAAACAAAAATCTGCCTGCGGCGAGCGATTCATCGCTTTCTTAAAAACTTTCAAAAACAAATGTCTTACACGGCCCTGTGAAGACCTGTGTGGAATCGCTCCTGAGATCGCATAGCCTAGGATCGCTCTCAGCCTCAAGATCCGACCTGTTATCTTGAACCTCAAACTCATCCGGAACATTCAACAGTCAACTGTCGGAGGAGGCCTATGTGGCCAGTTTTGAAGCATCCCTCGAGCAAGAGGCACCGAAGGCGAGTCAAAAAGATTAGATCTCACCAAAAGAAGCTCGTAGAGCGACCATGATGGATTCTTCTGTGAATCATTGCAACAGCCGTTCTCCTAGACACAGAGAGGCTTCAACTTCAAAAAAAACCATTT